CTTTGATCTGTGGACGGTCATTTTCATCTGACCTGCTTCCTCTACAACTGAGCATAGTAGCTGCAGAATGTGTAGTTCCGGTTCAATTAATGGCTACTGGACGGGATACTATGGGGCATTCAGCCCTCACCGCGGCTGCAGGCGCGGTTTGGGACCATCATCGTCGTTGCTGGGCTTTAGAGGCGGCAGTTGATACAGCCAAGGCACTGTTCAAGTTTAAGGTGGATTCACCCAACCATTGCAGGACGCACTGTATCGCCTGCCAACGGAAGATATTGGAGAACGACTTGAGGATAGGGTACCCGGCAGAGGACAGGTTCAGCGCGGACGGAGTGCGCTCCTTATTTCTACACGTACACTGTCTACCGGAAGAGCTCGTCTCGAATGATGAGGGTCTTGCTAAGCTCTGCCGTGATCGAAAGTGAGGACGACGAAGTGATCAATGAAATGGCCTGACGCCTTGCAGTTCCGCCGGAATCCAAGCATGGCTAGCTGGTCACGTTGTCGGCTTCGAAGCCTTGACTAAGAAGAAGAAGGCTATGCTGGTTCAAGGCTTTTGTGAGACGCAGGTGAGCACGTTCCACGAATGCGGGTGGCATCTCTTTCAGCCTCCGGCTGCTCCTGCCGCTCCTATGAGGTCTTTGAGTCCGTCGGAGAGTGAGGAGCCCCTAACGAAAGGTCAGTGTGGTAGTTCTGTCAAGAGTACAGAGAGGCAAGTTAATCCGTCGTATGCTGATGTTTGTGAGTCTACTCCTGCACTCAAGTCCATCGACAAAGTTGCAAGGGAGCTGTTGCCGGAATCACCGATAGAAACACCCGGTCTGGCCGACTGTGTTACTCCTGTGGCCCCAACGAATGACAAATGCTCCAAGTATCTCGGGGCTTGGAGATTGACCTCTGGAGGATGCACTTCGGGGGATTCTGCATCTGCTGATCACAAAGACCATTACAGTACAGCTACAGGCGAGCAGCATAAACCGGAATATCTCGGTTCTTGGCGTACTGAGGCGGCGAATTATCCTGGCAGTAACTATTACTCTGTTGGAGCACCTGTTCGCCTCGTCCCCAGCTACAGATCTGGACGGAAAGGACACCACAGCGAGCCTTACTGGAGTTATGGCAAATCATACGGTAGACTCCTGTGAATAACTTGTTTGGTAGGTTTTCGAGCAGGTAAGGGCACGTCACTCAGAGCGCGTCGCTAATGGTGTGACGGAGGATAGCAACTCAGGTGATGAATCTGCCTGGTA